TGGTGGTCGAGTAGATCATGTTGTGCGGGGTGGAAAACACTCGCTCCGCGCAAGGGGGATGATCGCACCACGTTGTGTTAAAATGGTCAAGCACCCTTGAGGCAGTTACACAGCTCTTTCAACTGTCTAAGGAAGTGAAAGCACCAGAAAATAAATTAATTCATTCGCAGCTGTCATCCGTACGCAAGGAAGTAAGCACAAGATGCCGAAAACCCTTAGCAGGATGCAGNGCGGTCTTTGGTCCTTCCGGTTTACGTGCAGCTTGGGGGCGTGACTATCGCCGAGATGCAAGCCGACATGGATGGGCACTCCATATCGGTGGAGCCTCACGAAGAGGTCACCATGTACCAGTCGAGCAAGGTCTTGACCATCGCGGGGCAAGGGTTCAACGCCAGCTATACCAAGTTCCGGTTCGCCGCCAGCATCGTGGAGGGGAGGAATTACACCCAGGTCGTGACGCCCGAGTCGGCCACCTTCACGCTGGAGGAGGGGAGCAAGTGGCGACAGGTTCGTGATAGATAATAAGACTGAATATTTGTAGAGACTTGGTAGCATTTTGGTTCATTAACGTTCGCTGGTCTCTGCGATTCGAGAAACTCGTCAGCTGTGTGAGCTGGGGAAACGTCAATGACGGCAGCTGGCAACTGATTCATGCCAACGCATGCTAAACACTTTCATGTTGGCATCTCGCCTTGATGACACTATAATACCACTATGCACTGATGAACCTACTCCGGAGGCAGCACGCCTTGTACATGCATATGGTAAGGAACAAGTTCCTTGGTTGTCAGCAGTCCGATCGGCCGTTGATGCGCATGTCGGCACGCGCGCTGCTGACGAGTTGTTTGGTTGATGGGGTTAGGGCGTGTGGTCATGATCATGGGGATTCACGTCGATGGAAAATATACTGTGCTTGGAGGAGTGATGTGTGGGGTGGGTGAGTAACATGGTTTGGTGTTGTACGTAGGGCGCAGCAGTGCATTGCGCTCTTGGCAACGGAGGCAGAGCACCGTAAGCAGCGGAGAAATGGCATCCCTACAGAGCCGGATTGTCAGAGCTCGATTTCCTCACAAGCGAGATTGTGCCTAACGCCAGTGCTGGTGGTTTTGGAAACATCTCAAGGGCTTTCGTAGAACTATAGTACCGGGCTCTTTCCGCACCCCCTCGGTTGTGGAGTGATTGAGCTTTGAAAGTCGGTGCATTGGGGGGGGTTGCCATCTCTCCTACTCGTGGAATACCACGGTACGGTACGGTATACTGCTGTACGGTATACGGTACGGTATGCGATACGGTACAGACAATCTATAGGTCGTGGAGCAATCGAGCTTTGAAAGTCGGTCTAGCGGGGGGTGCTATCTGTCCGCCTCCTACGGTATGTGGCAACTGTAGGCTTGAGGTTGAAGAAGGGAAGGAGAGACACCTCGGTCCCTCGGTCCCTTACTTTGGCTCTTTCGCTGTATTGCACAGTGAGCACCGTGTTTTGTCTGTTCTTGCACGATGATGCTGACTTTCATTTCATTTCAAGGCAAGCAGATCGTTGCAATTCGTGTACATCGGAGGGGGAAAGGTCCCGTACCAAACGACGTGACAGTTTTAGCACTACCCTCCTATTCATTGAGAAACCAATACCTAGAGAAGCCGGTCTACGCGCAGTACAGCGAAGCTCCCACAGTAAGGTTCAGGTGACTCTCGTCCCTTCATGTTGATGTGGTTGGCAAACTCAAACGCGGCCGGACCGCAGTTAGAGAAGGGGTAGCGATGTATCTAGGCTGGCGAGAGGGCGACATCGCAACGGGGAGTGAATAAGCAAGGGCGGGGTACGAGAGAGGACGGATGTATGGTGTATGTATGATAACGTTTCTCCTGTTGTTGGAGGGGTGGAAGAGAGCTGCACCGCATAGAGGTTAAGGTGATGTGGGATGAAAGGTGAACAGGGTTGGAGTCGGTCTGACTTTGGTACTAGAACGTTCGTCGTCGAGGGTTCCTTTTTTTCATATATTTTTGTTTCAATGATGGCAATATCAGAGCCCTGCCATAATTTTGGTGTACTCCACAGCAATATTGGCCGGGTGTGTTTTAATGTTATTTTATTGTGGGGGGGGGAACGCAGCATGATGACGGTCGCCCACGTTTTTTTCATTTCGTTATACTTATATTGTCAGTCGACCTCTCTCTGGGTTCAAGGCAATGGAAATGGATGTCCTACGTAACCCCGGCTGGTTAGACCAGAAATACTACAGTACCGGAAAGGCAAAAGCCCAACGTTCGGAAAAAATAGGATGAAGCAAAACAAAAACACGCATTTGGGGACGTTTGTCTTCATGTCGATATCGCGTACCCAAGCCGAAACACACCCTTATTCTTCATTGCTGCAGCTCATACGTGAAACACTGGGCATCTTTATACCTGCTTATATTGTTCGCCGTGAAATTTGATGTTTATTTTTTTGCAGGATGCGCCGTCGTGGCCTACGCCTCTTGTCCTGCTAGCGGCTAATGCCGGGGACGGTTTCGTGCCTTTGGGAGCCACAAAAGCGGGGAGGAAGGTGGCGACTATCTACGAGGACCCTAGGTGAGTCTCGTCTTGTTTGTTGTTGCTGGTTTTGTTGTTGGTGTGGGTGTTTGTAGTAGTTGTTTTTTTGTGCTGAGGCAGCCGTCGGTATCACTGCCAGATAAGGCCGCTGCTCTTTTGAAGTCTATGTTGACGTGTGTATCTCTAGTCTGACACAATGGCCTTAAAGCTCGCATCCGCGGGGACCGATTCCACCACGCGAGACGGCTTGGCCCTGCCTCGTTACGACACCCGTGCCGAACGTTGCATATTTGCATATTTTCGGGCCGTTTGTGCAAAATGCATCCCCCAACGCACGTCAAACTGCCGATGCCTTTGGAAACTCCTGGTGTGAGTCGTGCAGCTACCGCAGTGCTGTTTTTTGGCGGTCGGATTGTTTAACGCTGACAACAAGGTTCGGGGTGCTCGGCAGAGTACTGATCCACGGGGCCTTTCGGGAGGGAGGGGAGGGGGTCCGTGGATGGCGTTATGGGTATGATGGGCATGACCTTTCTTGTCTGTTCTGCATGTCTCTTTACGATGTGCACATGATTACAACGTTATTCAACATGAAAACCTCGCCACGTCTCCCACCAGTCTTACCAGTAAGACAGGTCGCCCCGGTGGTCTAATTGGTAACCTCGAAACCTTCTAGAGGTCAGGTCAGGGGTTCGAATCCCGGCGTAAGCGAGCTTTTCTTGCAAAGTGAGTTTTTCTCTTGCTTCCGCTCCTGCCCTAGTGGATAGCGCTAGTTCGTGTGTATACAGAGGGAAGAGAGTGCTGAACCTTCTCGCATCAAAAATCGAAGGCAAAGTACCGCAGGAGGGGAGGGTAGCGGGTAGAGAGGGGCTCTTCTGTGTGACCACGGGTTGGAGTAAACGGCACTATTTTGTGCCGTGAGCGCTGGTTTGAAGTGAAAAAAGAAGGAAAGAAGAAAAAGTAAGGGCTTGAGTCTAAACTCCTCTTCGCTGGGCCTCATACGAAGGCAGGAAGGAAGGAAGAAGGGCTGCTTTTGCTGCACACAACACACAACGCACGACCCCCAAACCAACCCCTCCGGCGCGAGTGCGCTACTCTTGATGTGCAGGCTGGAACCGTCTCTGCAGGAGATCGGGCGCACACTGACCCACGAGTTCTACCTCCGCGGTACCGGCTTCACGAAAGCGTTCCCGCCAATCATAACGTTCGAGCCCCTGGCAGATCGAGATGCACCCATCGATCGAGATGATTTCATGGTGCAGGTGAGATGTGTTCATGGTACAGGTGATATGTTTTCATGGTGCAGGTGAGATGTTTTCATCGTAAAGGTGGGATTCCTTCATGGTTCAGGTGCGGGGCGACTGACTGCTGGCGGACCGGGCTTTTCATCGCTGACAGGCGGCGTGTTTTTTCGATGAGATTTGGGTTTTGTTTAATGTTTTTCCTGTCGCGTCGTTGCTGTGTCTATAAGGCTGAGTCTTACGGCGTGATGATTTCGGAGTTTTTTTTTCTCTCGGTCGGGGGGGGTTGTTGTTGTTGTTGTCTTCACATTAAACCGTATGTCAGTTGCTAAATGCCAAAATCTAGCAAAGACTCTTAGCCCGTGGTCACGAAAGTGCTAGAGCCATCTGAGGATCTAAAGAACACGCACACATGTAACGAGAAAAAGGTATCCAAGAGCCCGAAGAGGTACACCTAAAAATCCCTGCAGCACCGTATTCGTGCCCAAAAACTGACTTGCACGTCCGTCCCACCGTTCGACTACAGTAGCATCACCCCCTCCCTGTCCCACTCTACAACTGTATACCAAAACGGAAGATTGCCGACTACAGCATACTGCTGTCTGAAGTGCTGTCTGTACAAAAACACCATGGTAGGCATGGAACAAGCAGCTGGCGGGGCACAAAGCTGCTGTCTGAAGTGCTGTCAGCATGTGTCTGCGGCCGTACAGTGAAAAGGAACAACCAACCAAAGCCATCATAGCAGCAATTGACAATCACCCGAATCTCTCCCGATCGTCTGTGT